CCTTTTAACTAATGATTATCTTATCTAATTTCAATCTAACTAATATTTAATATATGGGTAGGAAGAGGTTCAACAGTGAATACTTGTATGTCATCGTTAGTGTTTTGATTAAGATTTGACAAGTTTTAGGTTTGTATATTAGCATCTAGACAAGATCGCCTTGATACTAGTCATTGTAACACAAGTTTACACAGAATAGATGAAATTTAACTAATAGTGAGATAATATAAACCGTTACAGACTAAACTTAAATTCATATTCGTTGCACAGGTAAGTGTATATTTAGACTCAATAGCTAAGCGGATAATCCACTGAGTATTTGAAGCGAAAAACACTGAGTTCGACTTCCAGACTATTTAACTTCTCTAACTATGAATTATAATTAATTCAGCTATTCCAAACAGGAAGTCTGGACCTGGTGATATGGCTCAGGTAAATGATTTCGCAGACTGATGATATATCTTAATCAGTCTGCACTCATCTTTCTTTTAACTTACTTTGATGCCATCCATTGTGACTGACGAAATAAAGACAATTCAGAGGAGTAACTTTTTCCAAATGGAATAAGTTGCATAATTATCTCAAGTTTAAGGAGAAATTGTATCATGGAAATAGTTTATAGTTCTGGGTTATGGGGATACCTGTCGAAATAATAGATATAATTATAAAAATTGGAAGAGGGTAATAATAACCTGATTAGTGGATATGAAAAACTAGAACAGTTGTCAAGGTCAATGTTAAACTAGATACTTTAGCTTAAACATTTAAGCTTGAAATGATAAACTGTTAAAATCACTATAACTTTTACGTTTTTGATTTGCATTCCGTTTAAACCTACTTGTTTGAATGTATAAATAAATTTGGAAGATAATTCCAGTGAAGCTATACGATTATAATTGACAAGACGCTTCAGAAATAAACTTTTGACTGTTTTCCACTTTTCTTGTAAGTTATCTAGAGTAATGCTATGAGATGTATTAAAAAGGAGTTTGCTTTGTGGGTTAAACGTAAGGTGCTCCACAAGAACAAGTAAATTAACAGGTTAACATGCTTACTTATCGAAGTAAAAAGTGGGCAAGTAATAACAGGATATCGTTTGACATACCACTGACATACCACTGATAAGCAATAATATTTATTGAGTAGACTCCAATTGATATTGTCACAATTTGTAAATCGGATACCAATAATATTATGGAACATATGGTTGCTCGTTAGAATGAATAAATCCTTAGAATTCCTTAACAGAAACACAGGATAGGACAATTGTCACATATTTAGCTACAAAGTCATAAACATATTTCATTTATTATGCTTCATAAAAGAACAATTGAAAAGACGAGTCAGTCAGCTACAACGTAGGACCAGGCACATATATGTATCGACCCAAGTCGCCATACCTCAATAACACAGCAAAATGGACACCAGATTCATAGAAGTGGTTTATTCAGTGGTGGTGATATATAAAGAAAAGATTGCGTATACGGATTGAGTACAGGAAGGAAGAGTTAGTTCGTAGAAAGAAAAATATGAAATAATTTTAATCTAATAGTTTAAAGGAAAACAAAGAGAGTATACACCAACGCCATTATGATTGATTCTGAGCCATTTCACCTTCAATCTCCAACCATTAGTTACGATAGTCATATGGACCCCAACTAGGTAGTCTGCATCTACCAACATTACTCAGACTTCAAGCACTGGTGCCATGTTTTGGTTTGGTCGCCACTAATTTCCTTCCAACCATCTCCTACACTAGTCAGCATTGCGCGTCGCGGTAATGATCCAAAAGTAATGATGGCAAAAATAATAATAAGGTACCATTTAAAAAAAGACAGAAAACAAGTGTGCACAAGGAACAAGATCAACCTTAACATCGGAATTTTTTCTCATTGAACGCATCAATGCAACATTTCTATTCCTTGAATATTTAAGGACATACACTCAGAGTTATGTGATATCCCCATTTCAATAAAATGACCACTTTCACCAACAGATTCAAAGTTTAAAACCTTGAATTTAAATCTACCTAAATTATAAAACACTTGCTTACCCCATTGAAAGAAACAGTAATTGTTTGATTTGAAGTTTATCTAACTGGGACAATATAAGTTTAGAACAATTAAGAAAATATGAAAAGTATAAATGACACAATTTTATGCATAAATGATAATTGACAATTGTATGCTCTAATCCGATTATATAAATCTAGTAAATAAAAATAAGTCAAGTCCTGAAAGAGAACGAATATTAATAAACCTGAGAGGATGTTTTCTGAATCGAACATAAAGATAACAGCAAAAACCCATTAACTGGATGAAGGTTAGAAGAGGTTGTTTCATTATTAGTAATTACATCTTTTAACTTCTTTAATAAAACTTCACTACAATCTGGGGCATATCGAAATAATAACTGTAAAGAAGCTCCTTGATTATTAGCACGTGCTGACGAGCTCACAGACGACGATAAATTGTTTTATCTGCTTTGTTTTTCTGTAAAAAGCGATAAATATTGAGTTATAAGTAGTGGTGCAGATGTATTCATTCTTCGTCCTTCCTTAGTTTCTCAACACTAGAATCTTATACCTTCCTTTTTTTACATATATTATTGTCTACTACTCCCAATATTGCTGCCACTTCTACTACTCTGGGATTTGTTTTGATGCTTTCATCCCGCTGTTATGACAACTTGAGCTGACGCATATGTGTCACGTTTTATGTTGGATATGACTTTGAAATGCAGGTATATCTACCTGACAAGTTCCAAAATTGAACAAAACGAGCCTACTGTATCCCCACTACTACCTAGATCCTATCTATTGTGTAAAATTATGTTATAATGGCTAAATGAAGACAATCTGCGCATATGCCAACTAAGACTGATCGAATCTCACTCAAAATATCAACAACAGTATAACTCAAACTATTCCAAATTAGATATAGAATACTCATACTTTTTATTTAGTGAGTTCATTTTTTCTATCGAAATATCTTGTTTACGATTTATGTATTCAACTATTACTGATACTGTTAATACTTCTACAAATCTAGAATTTATCTTGACAATTTCATCTTATTGTGTTAATATGATGAGGGACAAATTGAATCCATGTACATATATGCAAGATTCTATGTTTCTTACGATTGAAACAACTTGTAATAGTACTCACATTTGAAATAATTAACCATAATTCGACAGAAATCAAAAATTTTATGCATAAATCTCACTTTTTGAATTAAATCAATTATGACAACAAACACAAACAGTGAGTGTGACATTCGTAATAAAACTAATTCCCAGTAATATATAATAAATGCAAATAAGTTTACAATCAGCTGATCCCAAATTGTAACAAATCACATGCCCAGGTATCCTAACATCACCAGAACTATATATATATGACATGATTTGTACTATTATTAAAAAAGATATTTTCGAGATGTTATTCATCACTGTACAATGAAAAACATCTAACTTTTGAGTAAATTAGTCCTTTGTAAACATTATCTCGAGCACGGATACCATCGAAAGTAAACATCATTTGAAGTCTTCGAAAATTAGAATGTTGATCCTTTTGGTATGTGATAATATGAGAATTCGTAGAAACTTATTTTTGCATCTCTATAATCAATCCTAGTAATTCATTATTTAATTCCAAAAGTTCCTTGTTTAAATCAATAATATAATTACATTTATTGATAAAACTCTGAAGACAATGGTGGATGTATTGCTCGATTTCGTGGATTAGTTGAAGTTGGACATTAACACCAATGGATCCCCGCCGGCCGGCCCAATGGTTTAGAGGTTAAGTGTTCAAGCGCGAGATCGATAGGTCATGGGTTCGAATCCCGCGAGGCGAGGTTGTGGATGCGCACTGCTGAGGAGTCTTACAATAAGACAAAACGGCCGTCCAGTATTTTCAGCTTTTCCATGGTGGTCTAGCTTCGATTGACTCATGATCCTAACCATTAAAATTACTATAATATCCACAAAACCCCTTCTGAAGTCTTTAAGTATATGTGTAACCAGATTGTTTGAAATGTATTGCGCAAATATCTATCGCATAATCCCGATAACCTTGGTCTTCTCATTGCATTACCGAAAAAAACGTGTTCAGTTTCTTATTGGAATTGGTTAACTTGTTTAACAAAATGGCACTAAACAGGGATTATTCTTCATTTTATCAACACACTATAACTGACCATTTTGTATAATAATTTGAATCTTGATACACAACCAAATCTTTAATTTGTACAGATGTAGTGTAAGTACAAACAGCTGAATTGAATTCAAATAATGATGAGACTATAATTTATGGACAACCTTTGAGCGAAGCTAAACTGACCTTAAGAGTGTCCACCTAATAACTACGACCAAATGAGGGTTAAAAATTAATGTGACGAACTTGAATTATGATTTACAATTGATAGTTAAGGTTAGAAATTAGATTTAGGGTTTTCATCACTAACTGACATCAGCTATAAATCTATTTAGCCATATGGATGAGTGAATTCCGCGCCAACATCCGAGACCTATTTTATACCTGATTGGTTCGTCTATAAATTATAGTCTCACCCAAATAATTACCAACTTATTACAGTATCATGTATATAACCCGAAACACAACAGAATAAACACCAATTGTACTGATAAACTATACTTTTCATCAATTCCTAATTGGTTTTTTCTTTGTTAAAAGAAATCACAAAAACCGTGTCAACGTTTATTCACATTATATAAATATATTTCATAGGTTGAAATCATGAGTCAATTGAAGCTAGACCACCATGGAAAATCTGGAAGCACTGGACGGCCGTTTCATCCTAGTATGAGACTCCTCAACAGTGCGCATCCACGATCCCGCACCCCGTGGGATTCGAACCCAGGTTTTTCATGGTGGTCTAGCTTCAATTGACTCATGATTTCAACCTATGAAATTTCTAAAACTCTCCACAAAACCCATTCTGATGAGATATATCATAAGTATGAAACTGTTTGTTTAATTTGTTTACATTTATTTATACCTTATTGAATAAACATCAAAAAAATATATTGTTTTATTGTTAAAAAGAGAGAGAAAAAGAAACAAACAAATCAATTCAGTCAATATGAAATTGACATTCATATATAGGTAGAACCACCATTTTATTCATAACACCAAAATAAATAATCATAATATTTACATAGAAAATAGGACAAATGTACGTATGTGTGTGTGTGTGCGTACGTGTGCGAATGGACAAAGTTCAAAGAGCGAGAGAAAGAGACATAGAAACGATATGCTCACAACAACAAAAAATCGACGAAAAAAGAAGAGAAACAGAAAATAATTAGACATACGAGTAAGTAGATTTTAACTGTTGCATTATTAACATAATAAGTATAATGCGCTATGAAAGACCGATTAATTACATCACAACAAATTACAATAGTTATTAACTTTCATAGGAAATACACACACACACACATGTGAACGGAAGTAGCGGTAGCGTTGAAATAATACAAACAGATGAGAAATAAAGAAGACAATACGTTTGTTAGGAAAAGTGACAGCAAAAGAATTAACAGACATAATACAACAATTATCATAAGTGAACAAATAGACTTTTAACTCTGTTTAGATGAAATGCTTACTGAAATTAAAGAATACCAGAGAGAGGGGGGAGGGAGAGACAGCATAAGCCAACTATCAATAGGGTAAAAAGTGATATAATCTCCATTCGACATTATGAACAATAATGTTATTGGTAAATACATACATCATTATGAGAATTTGTATTCGCAAAAATGTGAAGAGATAGCAAACTTCAAGTCACCGGATAAATGAATTAAAAGCGATAATAATAATAATAATATTGAAGATCAATAAACCATAACTACAAGAACATGTTAAAAAGACTAAATCTCTTCTCTCTCTCTTGTACATACACAAACACATGAACACTAATGAAGGAAGGAAGACTCGGTGGAAGCGAGCAGGGGGAAGCATAATTACAATCAACTATCCATATGTAATTCCTTAATAATGGAATGCAAAACAGTTGTAATAATCACGGGAATTTAAAGTCTAGAATAGAGAAAAATAGAGATCTAAAATAACATACATGATAATAAACATGTGTACACACTGTCACAGAGCGGATAAATCTATCTGTATAACATAATGAATGTCGATAATTTCAACGAACATATTATAGAGGTGAACTGGGAGGAGAAAAAAAACTGACTAAGTAATTCACGAATCTTTCAATAATAATCAGAACAACAACCGTAACAACAAAAGAAAAGAGAAAAAAAGAAGAGAAATAATACAGATACATCTTGGCATCTTATACAACATATAATTCATGTGTATATATAGAGAATTAAGCATCTTAATACATTTTATTAGTAAGACCATGAACAAAAGAAATTTTTAATTAATTTATTTATGAAATGTAAGGTAATAAATGCCTCACTACATTTTTTTTTAAAAATATAAATATATATGTCAATTAATAGAGTTTATAGACTTATTCAAAACCAATTTTGTTTCCGAGTAGATTAGAATAGGAAATGCTTATTTAGTGATCATAGTAACAATAATAATAATACTATGTTAGATTATTCACAAATAGTTTTGTTAATTGGAACAATAATATCGACTAACGATAAGGTCACAGTAATTGGGTCACAACACCAACACCACCATATATATATATATATATAGAGAGAGAGAGAGAGAGAGAAATTGGTACCAAAGATTAATTGAAGGAATGCTTTCTTGATTTTTTTGTGTGTAAATGTAATGTGACTTATCTTTTCCAGTATTCTGTTTAATTAATTCACTGTAAAAGAAAACTGTGTATAAGATACATCAGTAAATAAACACAAGGGATAATAGACACAGGGTAATTTTTTTTAAAAAAAGGAGAGAGAGAGATATTGGAAAACTAGTAGTTAATATAAGTTCGACAGGATACCCCATATATATCCGGACACCAGTAATAACACAGATTATTGTAAATTTTAAAAAAATAAATTGAGAAAAAGGAAAGACAAAAATCAAACAAAACATAGACACACACATACGAAAAAAAAAGAAGAGACAAACAAATCTTACATAAATCAGTCAAAATGAACAATGCTGTGTATGCTCCATTTATGTATACAGGGGAATTATGATCATTCAACTAACTACTCTCTTAGGTTAATACCATATTCATCATGAATATAATCATGATAACATTTTTTTTTAAAAAAAAGTAATAAGAAGTATGAAATAGCCGGCATGAAACAACTACTGATATAAGGAGATTGGCAAGACAATTTTAACCGAAAGACAACGAGAGAGAGGGGGGGAGAAGGGATAGTCAAATACACCGCATAATCTTTGAGAGAATTAAGTTTTACTAGTGTTAATAAGATATAAAATGATAAGGAAGAAAAAATATGTAGCTGTATTATTCATTCTTATTTAGTTGTAGTCTTTTAAACTTGATTACATGGGAGTAGATTTGAATAATCATTTGAATCAGTTAGTAATTGACGATAACAATTATTAATAAGACGACTATTATTTTTATTTTCATTATTATTAGATGATTGAGCAATATTGTTGTTAGACATTGAAGATATTTTACTAGATGATGATTTGATTGAAATAGATTTTATATTGTTATTATTATTACTCCTAGAAAGACGATCAATTCTATCACCTGTTACATCATCACTAGTAGTAACAGGTAGAATGCGATCACGATGACGACCACCATTATTGTTGTGCTGTGATACAGCAAGTCTTTGTTTTAACAATCGTAATTTATGTACCATTAATGTTAATTGAATTTCATCATCACGATATTTTTGTGAACGAGAACGACGAATAAATTTATCTAATTGATTTGCTAAATGGGTTGTAGTAGCACTATCGAAACCTTCAGTTCTAGTGGCTTCTAATAATTGACTTCGTAGATTACTGACAGTTTTCCAAATATCTGAGAATGAATGGTACATTCGAAGATAAGTTGGATAGGTACATTCAAATTCAGCTAAATACATTGAAGCTTGTTCTGATGTTGAGATTTCTGGATAAAGCCTTAAGAAAGAAAAGGATATAAATATAACTGTTTTTTTAAAAAAAAATATTCACAACTTCACATGCTGTTATAATCTATCTATTGTATGAAAATATCAGTTTATTGGTTTGATTTAACTGTCATAACTCAAGATATTACAAAATACCTAGCAGGCTCAAAGTTATTTAACTGCTGTAATCAAACGAGAATCAATCCTTTAGATGTGGTATAACCGCAGTGGATTATTGATTAACACACTCGACTTTCAATCACTAAGTTCAAGGTTCGAATCCCGCTCTGCATATTTCGGTTTGACAATCCGGGTAGTATCTGTATAGCCCTTATACTGTAAATACTTGATGAAGGAGTAGATTTTTAAGATATTACAAATCCTAGTCTGCACATACATATGTTTAATACCTAGTTCAATAATGTGGTTCTCAAACATATATTCTAACAATATGAATCATATATACATTGTGCGACAACATTACTTATATCAAAAATACTACTAACATATTCACAGAAAACCATTGAAGTATTAAAAATTGATTATCTACAAGACGATAAACAGGAACCAGTTGACAATCTATTCTAAGTTGTATCATAATTGCTGTAAATAGTTTTGAAAAAGGATAATAATAATCCAAAGAAACATGTAAGCAGAACTCTAAACATCTCATACCATTCTAATTTGAAACATTGCCTTTCAGAAAAAAATACAAATCATTATTATGCTAAATCTAACAATACTGTTTTAACAATAAACAGATTTAAATATGAACAATGTATAAATAATTAAGAGAACATACCGGTCGATTTCAGCCAATTTACTGCTCAAATCGCCTACATGAAAACCATCTGTTCCGACAATACTTTGAGACAAAGTTTGTTCAGTTATACCATATGCTGGTGTATTTGTTGTATTACCTGAAAATATGGAAGAATAAGAGAAATAGACAAAAGATAAGCAAGAAATAAAACATAAATTAAATATATAAAGACTAGACTAGTACACTCAATAATTTTCCATTTCATGAAAACCAGACTGTTCAAAATAGGTACAATATACTTATAGGAATCTCTTTAAGATATACATAATTTGCTAAGCTAATATGAGCTATCTTTGGAACAGACTTAGTAGTGATTAATTATATAATCTAATATTTATTTATTAACCGCTTTATCCGACAATGTCCCCAAATGCCCTGGTATGGCAGAGAGTGGGGTGGGCCCTTCCTCCCTCTCGAAATGTTCTCACACGGTCACGCGTATACAGCCTCTGCCAGGGAAGTCCTACTCACTGCCTTCTCGTGGCGGGGGTGTTGTTTACAAAAATGAGAGGACGAAAAGCGAATATCCGGCGCTCCAATATGCTGAAGGAACAAATGGCGTATGAACTAATCGTTGGTCACCGGCTACCATGGGACTGCATCTCCTCACGATGCTCTACTGCCTTGTGGGTCAGACCTTTAGATCAAAGGCTCGGGGTGTGGTCCCCTAAGAAAACCACCTGCTTCGGTATGGGCACCCGGACAGTATCACAGCCCTCACACAAATCGGATGATTTATGTGGTGCATATCTATTTGGTGCCTCCTTGTACCAATATCTATGTGTTAAAATAAATTATCCGATAACATAACACGTTGAAGTAACATACATCCTGTCATCAGATCAGAAGTTTCATCAAAACAATTTCAAAAGTACTAACATTGTTTCAACCTTTATATAAGTGCAACATATGTAAACTAATAGAATGAAGTGATCATCCCTAAATACACAATGATTCACTTTGAAATGATAAACGAAAGATAAATACAAAACTGCAACGTATACAAAATAAAACAGAATGACCTAAAAAATAATGAATGAGTGTCATGAATAAACGACAAGAATTTTTATAACTGAAATTTCAATGAGCTCGACGGAGTGCACCAAATTTATTAAATTATGTAAACATTAATACAAAAGACCACACAAATAATTGAATTTTTGTGTGGGCTGAGATACTAAAGCAGATGGTTTTCTTAGAGAGCGATTACCCTAGTCTTTGACCCACAAGTCTAATCCTTAAAGTAGTGGGGCAATGTTAGGAGAAGCAGTCCTATGGTAGCCGGTGATCAAAAATAGGTTCATACGTCATTTGTTCCCTCGGGATCCTGAAGCCCACTTGCACCAATGGTTCGAAATCAGGGTTTTCCAACTTCCCTAGATGAATCCTCAATATCCACCAACCCAGATTAAAGCGCTGGATATTCGTTTTTCGTCCTCACAATTTCGTAAACAACACCCTCGCCGCGAGAAGGCAGTGAGTAGGACTTCCCTGGTAGTGGCTGTATGCGCGTGGCCACATGACAGAATTTCGAGAGGGAAAGAGGCCTCTCCTTATCCTCAGCCGTACCAGGGCATTTGGAACCTTATCAAAAGATGTAGATGATACTCTATTTGCATTATATTAGCTTATTATTATTATTATCCAAGCTTAGCATAGAAATAATATTGTTCAACTTAAAATTGTTTTTCATGAAAGTCGGTTCCATGGCATTTTTTATGTTATAGTAGTCAGCATACAATACTTAAAGTGAATAACTTCAGAATCTCCAACTTATTTTTATCCTTCAAGTTATAACAAGCATTCAATGAATGTTATCCACAAATACAAGGCTTTGGCAATAAACCCATTAAACTTAAATTAACTCATTTATCTAGTAGTTGGATGTGAGGGTTAAGGATAACATACAAATCTCAAGACCGAAGTAGACGGTGTGGAACTCGAACCTGAGAGTAAGCGATTGAGAGTTGAACGACTAAACTATCATTTCCTCATTACCATCAATGCCATACGAACAAATATATTAATAAGAGTAAATATCTTATAAAAACACAAATAAGTAGTACACTCGACAATAATGTTTATTTGTGAGAGAGAGTATAATGATAGCAATTTGCATTTTCTTGATATTTTGTTAAACAGAAAGAAGAAACGTGTTCAGAAAAAGTTCATCTGCGTGTCAACATATACACACATTTAAGCTTTGTAACTAATCATTACAAAAGAAATCTGGTTAGTTGTTTTACAAACAGAGCTAGAAAGATATAATACGACAATGTCATAAACAGAAAAGTTAGACTATATATATTTATTGTAAATAGTTACCGATAAAAAATTTTGATAAGACATATGCATATAGTGAGCAGAAAGTTAGAAACATGTACTTTTCGTAAGAAACCTTTCTTTTTGAAACTACCTTTTAACGGAGATATAGATAGTTTTTCTATATGGTAGGCTGATTAGAATTGAAAAAAAATGACTTCTTACAAAGTTAATTATTGCTTGTCATTTTTTAAAGTTTTTTCTTGAACTGACCAATTTAGTTAATCAGTTTGTGGAGAAAGATATTTGCAGGCCTACTGTTAGCTAATTAGAAAGTGAGCATCTTCCTTCGTGGAACACTTCAATACTTGAGTTCATTTTATTATACCTGATTGATAATGGTTATGTGATAGATGGAACTAAAGCATTTACATGCAATCCGATCAGTTCATCTCGATAGCATTCGATACGTATAATGAGAATTGTAGGGATTAGAACTAATAAATCTAGTCTTATCTAAAACAAGTTTGAAATACCTTTGTTTATTTCTCTCTGAAACTCTTACATCTCCCTTTTAATACTCAGATATTTAAACTGATTATTCACACCTCCCTTATTACATAATGCTTGATTAGTTCATTTTATCAAGTTTTATTTACTTCCTGTGTTGAAATATTTATTCAATGTGTTAGTATTGTTACTTTACGATAAGTTTGCACTTTACATTGTTACCAATGACCCAGAAATTCTTTTAACCAGGTTAGTAACTGTCATTTATATACATATAAATATATTATATTCTGTTGAACATCGTTATGTTTAAAAACTCAATATAATTTCTAACGAAGAAAGTTTAGTCTTAAATAGTTTAATAGGTTTAATAAAATTTACAAATGAAGAATTTTGATTGATACATCATTAAGAGTATATCTGTATTTGAAAATGAAAATTTAAATCATCAGTTTAGAGGTTGTGGAGGTTGTTAAGTTTTTGATTGAAATCATGAGTCAATTGAAGCTACACCACCATGGAGAACTTGCAAGCACTGGACGGCCGTTTCGTCCCAGTATTGGACTCCTCAGTAGTGCGCACCCACGATCCCGCACTCCGCGAGACTCGAACCCAGGAACTATCAGTCTCGCGCCAGGCGCTTAACAAACTAGACCACTGAGCCAGCATCCAGTGGTGTTAATGTTTAACCTCAACCAATCCATGAAATTGTGCGACCATCTTCCATTGTACTGAGGTAGACACCTGTTTCTAACCGACACGGGTTAGCTCCACTGGTCACGACTTCTCACCAGAACTCCGAGAATTTTCTAACGAAGCTTGTCACTAGTGATCTAGCTTCAATTGACTCATAATTTCAATCAAAAAAATTTAAATAGACGACTTATTTTATCAACCTTAGTATTCTCAATATGTACTACCTGTCAATTTCTACAAACAATTAATCAGTGTTAAAGGTATACAACAACATTTATATATAGTTAGTCTGCATCACAAACAGTTTCTACTTTGAATTCTCAAGACCATTATATTATATGCTAACAAAGTTATGTCCTTAGTCAGTTGAACCCATTTACTTTAATTAAGGCCCCTATGATATTTTAAACATGTTTGGAAGTTTTCACTGAAATTCATTCCTTAAACTCTTTGAACTTAAGACCTAGACAAGCTAACATCGATGGGAATGTCAATTATTCAAGGTTGTTATAGAATCATATAATTAAATGGTATATTATTAATTGTTAATTGATAGTCAACCAGAGTGAAAATTTATGTTTCCAAGTACAATGCCACATGTTTGACGTGATGAGGTCTCTGAGTTTGATGGACTGGTTTTGAAGCTTTTAATGTTTTTATGAGCAACAACATTAGCACGTACTTCAAATAGACGTGAGTTATTAGAATTTCTTCATAAGTGGTTAACAACCTGTTTTGTCGATCTGAAACTTGGTTGTTATCTACAATTGTATGGTAGTTGTTTATAAGTGTTTTTTTTCTCCTGACCTGAACTCTGACCTTGCAGTTGTTAGTCTTTTTCCTTATTGGTAGACAGATTAAATTAACTTCAGTGTATATATTGATCAACGCTTAATTATAGTTACAAGCGTCTAAAAACTCTGGTCGTTTTCTTGTTTTTTCTATCCAATAACTTCATACTTTCTCAATCGAACTCACGGTTACAATTGTTCACATGCAATGACACGAGCGAGGGTATGTTATATAGATGTAGTCGAAGAGGGCATCCACTTTATCCAACGTGGTGTTTATTGAAGTTTATCTTGTAGATAACATTTGGCGTGTAGCTAGTTTTCTAAATACATCCAATAGGTATTTTATTTCTTTATTTTTCGAATAAATGCAATCTGGTTACTCGTTTAAAGTGCTCGTATACAGCTGATTTTGTGAGACACTAAGTTATTGGTATGTAATTAAGCATACGATTGGTATGAACTGTTTTCCGGTATATATATATATATATATATATATATATATATATATATATATATATATATATATATAAGCATCTATCTTTTTCATGTTGGTTCTGGTGACTGACATGTTTAATGATGATATTTTTTTGTCTGTTTCTATCTCTGATGTGAATTTTATGTTGTGTAACACGCAGTTGATCAAATTATTAGTACTTTCCAGATGATATTCTTGGATGATGATGAATGTGTTGTTCTCATAAAGTATACAAATTTTTAGTTTGATCATTGAGCAGGATCGAAGTTTTCCAGCCTCTGCATATATCGAGTTAGAAGTAGGTTGACAATGAGATCAATCAGGCTTTGGCATTGAAACTTGGTGTATTCTGAAAGATTTGTACTATTGATGAGAAGGATGAATAAAGTGTCATTTGTTATATTTGGTTCGATAGAGGCAAATAAGACAATGGCATTAAAGGATAACTTCAATTTGTTGTTGGCAATTTGCTCTAGTGATCAAATGAGTTCGTCAGATATTTTAACGGCTGTGATAATTCCTGAAAGATTGTACGTAGAGATCCATGGAGGTGCAACGACTGGTCATAGAGGGATGTTCGGTTTGTGTGATTTTGGTATACTATAGGTTCACTTGACTGCATTCTCCATTGACCATATTTTGTCAGTAGTTCCGCTTTGACAAGTTTGTTGAGAGTCCCATTGATTTTATTATAACTTTTGGATAGGATTATCTTCCATTGATTGAGATGCACTATTGTCTTTGAGTAGCCCCTCAGACCTCTGAATGTAGTCTTCTTCATCCATGAATACCGTGGTTTATTCATTATCAGCAGGAATTATGATTGTGCTTTTCTATATTTTCAGTTATGTTAACGCCTTTTGTTTTTGCATAGTTAATTGATAGTAATTTTTCTTTTGTTGAACCAGGAGTACTACCATCTGTTTTGTTTGTTGTTGAGTTTCTTCACTTAGTAGTGAAATTTTGAGTGATAACTCCAGTGTTGCGAAGAATTCCGTTTTCGACACATTTTCAGTACTGTAGTTCCTTTTGAAAAAGTCAATCTTCCACTTTGGTTAAGGGCTGTTTGAAGAGTTCATTACGCAATCGTTTATTTCTGCATCGGCTGGCGTCCGAGAGATTTTGGTCGATTTTACCCTTAGTATTTTGTCTTTGCCTTCGATGACGTTTGCTTGATATTTTGATCGCAATTATTAAGGTTGTTGCACAAAAGGTCAGTCTAGGCCTATATAACTCAATAGTAACATATCAGGTTGTGAAGCTAAATGATGCCTGTTTGAATCCTACATTACATAGTATTATTATTTATTTATTTCAACACATAGATAATGGTACAAGGAGGCACCAAATACATATGCGCCACACAAATCTCATTCGATATGTGTGAGGGCTGTGATACTGCCCGGGTGCCCAAACCGAAACAGGTGGCTTTCTTAAGGGGCCACTCCCCGAGACTTCGACCTGAAGGTCTGATCCACAAGGCAGTGGAGCATCGTAAGGAGATGCAGTCCCATGGAAGCCGGTGACCAACAATTGGTTCATTCGCCATTTGTTCCCGCAGGATACTGGAGCCCATGTGCACCATTGGTTTGGAATCCGGTTAAAGCGCCGGACATTCGCTTTTCGTCCTCTCATTTCCGTAAACAACACCCCCGCCACGAGAAGGCAGTGAGGACTTCCCTGGCAGAGGCTATATACGCGTGGCCGTGTGAGAGTATTTCGAGAGGGAGAGCGGATTGGTCTGCTGGATTTGTAAAATTCATCCCACAAACACGATGTGAGAAACCAGTTTAATCAATATATATATATATATATATATAGATTAAAAATATAGTACCTAGAAAACTGAAATGAGTGATTATCGATTATAAAAAGTTTGATGTTTCATGTAAGCCACGTTATTTATGTAAGTCATGTGAGTAAGTAATCAGCAACAAAATCAACACACAGAATACACTATTTATGGTCACTATTATGAACTGATGAACACATTGTTTTATCCAACAAATCGATGACAGTTTTATTGTAACAATATAAATATCAGTTATAAACTTAAAATAAGGCAGAAAAATTATCTATGAGATATTGTTATATATTGAAACTACATACTAATACAAAACCATAAAAATAATTTTGCGTTAAGTTAAATAAAACTCATCAAATAATGAATGACATAGTACGTTCTATTAGAGAATTATGGAATCATGAGTATCAGTACAGAAAAGTCTAAAGTTATTTGTTCATTTTTCGGTTAGTTGTGTTTTTTTAATCGACAAGACTGTGAATGTGAATAGATTAAGTTAGGTCAGAATATACTAGAAATGTACAGCTCAGTCAATAACAACGTAGAACTTCGTACGGACGTACATCAGTTCGAGTTGCCATACAGCTAATATCTAATTTAATTATTTTAATTAAGCCAATGTCGAGTAAAAGAGCTCTAAAGATGATTAAACAGAGGAATACGGCTGCTGATGATTTATATACATTGAAAGAAAACCATTGATTTTCATCTCAAGTTCGAAATACAATGGAACTGTGTGAATAGATAGCTTAAACAATAAGAGTTAGGTAGAAGCAGAAAAACGTTTATATAAATCTGTAATAAATTTCAGGTTTATAAGCTCATTTTAGATCAAAGTTGCTGTGTGAAAGTGTGATATCCTATGTAGCTCTTCAAATCGATTTATGGATTTAGATCAAGAGCATAATGGTTGATGGACATGTTTTTAAACAAGTCAGATATCTTAAAATGATAAAAAAACTGATATGAAATACAAAAATGTATTTACTGATTTTGCACTCAATGATGAACAATATAATATAAATTTGTCAAATCATCTCAATACACTGTACCACTAATTACAAAATATTCCCATACAACCTGAATCGGAAATTGAAACACTTCCGTCAACTCTTAGGGACGTTCAAAATAAAACATTCAAATTGAGGCGAGAAAAGGCATCCGGACTCAAAAAATTGACTCTAAGGGGAGAGTATATCGTACAGCAGTCTTCTCTGTACTACACTATTGTTTTCAAAAAATGATTTATGAAAGTGGAAGACAAGTGTTAGTTAATTATTTGGATATAGGTGTCTTCAAAGCATTACTCTTGCATGCAACTGAATGAGCTGTGATAGTGCAAGCTAATAGGCAAACCAGTTGAAGAGGTAGTGGAATCCTATCGGTTGATGTGATTAGGACATGTGCTACCTCTATCCAATCACTATTTGCCTCAACCAGAACGTTAACTGAAGTAAGAACGAGTGATGAAACCAGGACACACCATCAGTCTACGAAGGCATTGCCTATTGGATAGAAGCATTTTGACAGGTGTAAACTACCTGATTAGGAACCGCATGGTAATCGATATCAGTGGTTAGAGACGCTAGGTGGCATAGAATAGGTCACGATGGTACAGATGTATTCAATCTGTATTTCTTTAGATCTCGAGCTCAAAATCTCAACACATACCGTTTCATCCTAGCATTAAAAATCTCCAGCCACACTCACTATTGTTGATATCGCTATTATTTTGACTCATCGTATTTCTCTCATTAGTTATGTCTCGTCAGAGTGATAAGGAATGGCAACTTGAGCTAAGGCATATTTATCTCAGACTATAATGATGATGGCTGACTGGCCGGCAGGGATTATTAATTACAGACGAATACTTTTAATTTCACCGACTGCAAAACAATGGAGGTTGGGTATTCGAAAACCAACTGAAATGTTACACTAGTCAAATAAACAGTCGACAAATATTTTCGTAATTTTATTAAGCCCGAAAACAAGGATTATGGGGTTGTGTGACACTGGTAAGCCAAAAATAATAGTATATAAACGTGTGAATTGTTCAATCGTAATATTTTGCATTTCATACACGATGTATACGATTTAGAAGACAAGTGAGTATACTAACATTTCAAACAGAATTAAATGATAAATCATTTTACAGAAAGAAAAACTGGTCCCACTAAAAATCAATAACCGTTAAAAACAGATTTGAAAACTAGCTATCACTGGTAAACTGATTTGTTATAATTAAACATTTGGTTTTAATCACATTATACTCAACACAATTCAACTTAGCATGATATAAGAAAATTAGTCATTTCACTTCACTATTGCGTGATCTGTATACTCTCGAACAAACTATTAATTTTTCGAACTGATAGCATTATATTAAGAAATAGCCAAAACTTACCATTAGACAATTGATCTTCAGCTTTTAAGCGACTAGACAAGCATTCAGAATGAACAGACATTGTCAAATGACATCGAGATGTAGATCCTATTAATCCTTCACGGCGAGTGTCAATATTAATACTACTGTTTACTACTCCACTAGAGGCAGTCAAACCATTGTTTGAACCACCATAACCACTGCTACCAGTACTTGAATTGGAGAATGGAGTGTGTTCGGCACTTTCCCCCTCACTCCCACCGGCTATATTATATGTACAAGGTTGATTTGAACGACTATACGTATCAAGTGTGTGAAGATTATCGTGAAGTGGAGGAGAAATAGTGCTAGTTTGATTGTTATGATCATCATTGTTTTGATTTGGAAATGAATGCATAATGGATGATCTGGAAACAGTTTTATCAGAGGTAGAATATGTTAAGTCTATTTGTTGGTCAGCAGAACTAGAGGGTGTATTAGGCACATCTAATTTAGCACGTTTATGGGGAGAAATTGTATTTCCAGGATTTGTTGAAGTAGAACGTTGACTGCCAACAACATCATTTGCAGTAGACATAGTAGGATTTTGGTGACGAACACCGACAGACTTATCATACACTTGGGAATGTTGATTAAAACTGGAGATCTGAGTTGAGGGTGCTGAATTTGTGCTTGCATTGAGTCGACGAAATTTCTGAGAATAAAACAAAAATAAATACAATAATGAGACATTATTATCTGGATACAAATAAAATTTAGTATGCAAAGTAACTGGGAAATGGAATGATAAATGCTTAGTAGTAAATGTGTTTTAAACACTTAGCTTACAACCACTGAATTACAAGTTTCCTCCACCGTTTCCTTCAATATGAACATTCAATTGATTTATTCAATTTATTTTATTTATTTGAACACAAATATTTGTACAAGAGAGCGCCAATATATATGCACCGCACAAAACAATGAAAATTCGAAGAGAGATAGAAAAAAAAACAACTAAGGAGCACAAAAGAAAAAGAGAACGATAACGAAGAGATTGGTGTAAGGTAGTGTGGTAGTAACGAGGGAACGGAAAGGTACAATCAGAAGAAATCTTTCAAGTAAGGGAGACACAACCACTTTTTATGAAGAAAGTAAAAGAAGGTTACAGCAGGATCGCCACTGGCTCCTATTCTGAGCCATATCTGATAACGTCTCTAGCCACTGTGTGATAACCACCTGCTTCGGTTTGGGCACCCGGGCAGTATCACAGCCCACACACAAACGATGAACTCTATGTCTATGGCGACTACTTTTCTCGCTCCGATAAACAATCAATCGATTTATTCAATACATAGAAGTGATGTACTGACACAGTTGATTGATGGGTTTTGATTTTTGAAATCAGGAAGAAGCTGATTGACAGCAGAATCTGTCTGGACAAACAACTTCAATTTACGAAAATAATCAATAATTTTTTGCAAATCAAACCCGATTCTGTCAATATAATAAAACTTATGATACCAATAAGCCACATATTCATGGGTAGATATACATTGAGAGCTCTTGGTCATTATAACACTGGGATGTATTTGCTATATCTAAAAATTCGATAAAGATTCATCTTGAAATTAATTTATCAGCTAATAAAATTGGATCTATAAATAGTTCTTATCCGAACTAGGTTGGATACATCAGAACTGAATACGAAATGATGATTTCGGCTATTAAATAATCTATAAACCTATAAATTATTAATCATAGTATTTATGGTCAATCTACAAGTTATCATCTTCTTTGAGTCTAACTTTTTGGACTTATATTTAGAGATCTCTTGAACACATGGATGTAAATTGAGAATAAATAATTAGTCAATCCGATCCAGTGTAGATTTAAACTTATGATCAATAGGAAAAGACAATTGTATCACAAGATAATATTAACAGGACGTAAGCAAGTTTGAAATGTGTTGGGCTTTAAACAACTTCTGAAACAATTTCTAGGGCGTGCAACTGAAGACAATGTTTACCAACAACAAAAAAGCAAATATTACATCGGTCACTATGATATGAAAATTTTTCATTAATTGTGATAAGACTATTTAAAATGTACTTAGCTAATACAGTCTGCTATTGAGTCGTATGATCCAGATATTCACTCATTCACAGAACTCTATTAGTTCCGGGACTAATAATCCCGGACAATCAACTAGTGTACAAGTAGAAGTTGCTGAAGCGAATTGCTCTTTTAAACATCCCTTGTTTCTTAACATAGAAAATAATTAATAAGACACAAGCAAATTAAAATCCTAATGTGAAATCAGTGATATTTTACAACTAGACATTAGAATTTTTCGCATTTATCTATATAACGTTGTAAGATCCTTTTCTACTGCTCATCAATAACTATCAAAAGATTTAATTTTATAAGCTGTAGATTTAGATATAAGGATCTTTACATAGAAAAAGTGATTACATGGATTATGTAATTACTCCATATATAAAGATTTAGTCATCTACGAAGGGTTGCTGAAATGTGGCAAAATTGATGAAAAGAAATTAAGCCTGGTAAAATGTACGAATGATACTGAACTTTGGTAGCATTTACATAGCATATACATCAGAGAAACCATCTAAAAAATGAGGTTACCATACTTTAATACCAATATCGCAAGAGCAGAGTACTACAAAAATTAAAATTAAAACTATTTTTCACTGAAGATTTGAGAAGTAAAATCTAATATGAATGATGTTAAGTTACTTTTATAGGAAAGATAGCTACTCTGGGAACACAAAGTAGATAGTATTAATATATTAGGAGAGAGATCATTCATGTAATATATACCAAAAATGTAATCCATATTTTGTTGCTTGATGCCTGCACACAACGATAACTCTTGTTAAGTCCACTGTTAACCATGAAAAATAATCGAAAGATCTGCAAACGACTTGAACAAAATTTTACAAAGTCAACATAAGAATATTCTCACCTCTCGAAGTTCTGATTCATTGGCTCGCCACTGATCCAACAGTCCACGGAATACTCCTAGACGGGCGGCAACTTCCACATCACTCACACCTGCACACAACATATCTAGTGCAGCAATCTTCTTACTCAATGCATGAGGTGCCGAAGGAGCATTTGCTCGTGTTGGACGTCGAGTAAACTGGTCGTCAGAGGGGGTGGACGAATTGTCAGGAGAAGCGGTCCGAGATCGGTCAGTGGGAGATTTGGGAGGAGTTTGAGACTGCTGACTAGCCTGGATAAAAAGCAAAATGCCGAATGATGAAAATTCACTTAAAAATTCATTCAGTCTATAATACACAAAATAACTGTTTGGTCTGAGCTGAGTTTCGGACATGAGACAACAAGAATTTAACATATCAGATAACAAGCAACGAGAATCACCAACATTGTCTGTTCAAGCGGAAGCAATAATCAGCACGTTATACAGATCAACAACTTAAAAGTTAATAACTAACCTTCAAAGAAATAATCCGTTTTCTCTCAGCACCAGTATAACCTGGCCAGTTTTCATCTAATTCTGATACCACAGACGGTATAAGGTAATATGCCGACTGTCTTCCAACACGACCCACTGACGACAATATGTCGGATATTTGGTCTTTCTGAGTATGAGATAGGCCATCACGAGACAACCGTAATAATAATTCGGGGCGCTGGTAAGGCCGTAATGCCAGTATGTGAATAATGCGTTCTCTAAAATGTATATGGAAAAGTATAATATATAAATAATATGGTACTAAAACACAATTGAGATGTCAGAGTGCAAACAAAACTAACCTTCGAACGTAAGTACACATCTTTCACATAGTGACCGGCAATAATGTGCCTTGACATGACACGGAAGTTATACACCAAACGTCACTAACAAAGCGTTATCCATATTAGGCGCACTAAACCCCATTATCACCAAACACACTATCCCTATATTTGAGGGAGCTTCCTTTGAACAAGTACTTATGAGACCCTTGATCAAACCAAGTAGAATTTAAAAATATGGTTCACAAATTAAATACAATGTTACAAACTAAACCGTATTTGTCGAAATTAATCATATACTGTCTTCTCAAGTAGGTCACGACTATAGAGGCATATCACGAATGACTTACAATAACCAATATTACTGAACACACGTCTAAATATTACACGAAAGATGGTACTTTAAAGACAGTGGAACACATGTGTATAGTATCATAGTAAAAAGGCTAACTTTGAACTAATTTCAAGAAAACAAAACGAAGCAAGGGTAAAGAACTTCTCACGGCACTTAAACTACTCCTAAATTGTAATTATAATCAGAAAATTATGCGCAGTTATGTGGTTGGTCAGGAACACCTATATCACATTAAAAAGAAGCTAGTGAAACTGAAGCTTTTCACAAAAGTGAATCAGTTAAATACTTAACCTGATTATGACCGATAAGATCATCAGCAAATAAAAATCAGTCAGTCAACTACAACGTAGGAGCAGGCAGGTTAATAAACAAATCTATAAAACCTACAACTAGAAGTAAGAAGGCCTTACGGTACATGACCAATAACTTTATATTAAATGAAATCAAACGAGTTACGCTTCAGAAATTATAAGCTACCATCAATTAATATAGTACTACCGTATTTACTCAGATATAATGTACACAGCTGTATGGTTTCAATACAAATGTATGATGTAGTAAGGACAATAAGATAGAAACCTACAGTGGAATGCCGTGATAAACTTCCCAAATATAAAAGTTTTCAGTTAGATTGTTGGTTACGTACAACTACGATTTGATCAAACTATATATATATATATATATATATATATATATATATATATATATATATATATATATATATATATATATATATAACTGCACCACAAATGATTAAGTTATATTTAAACGATGGCAAATCTTTATTACTTGAGATGTTATTGCGACTAAACGAAGAATCATCTCCAAATGGTAGACAAACGAGTCTTACCAACTAATAGTGTACTAATAAAAAGTAAGTACTTCAACAGCCACTGATTCAGAGCCAAATCAATCCATTCAATGTAGAACTTCCAAACAACCACTACGTATATTAGAATGCCAACAGACTGAGATTATACGTAAATTCTTCATGTGTATAAGCAAGACATCGGAGAAATAAACACACCTCAGTGAGCGCGCCAAAACTTCTGGATTAGATAATGGAGGACTGGGACCACAACCAACAGGATTCTGTGACTGAACTCGATTGGCTACGTTAGGGAAATCTATGTTCTGAGGTGAAATTTCATTTCCCCTTCCCTTCAAATTTACACCCTGATTGCCTTGTTTGTGAGTGGATTGAGATGCTGCTGTTCTCGAAGCCATGGATTTAGCAGATTTAATCTCTTTTGTCTGAGACTTTTTGTTTTCGTCTTCTAATTGTGTCATTCGCTCCTTAGCCGCTGAGAAGCTATCCTCCTTAGCATTGACCGTGATCCTGGAGACCATCCTTCCCAGACAATGAGTTGAAACTCTTGAGTAAACATTAGGTTACATAAGGAAAATTCCTTACCCTTTGGTGCGCAAGCAATTGAAAGATTCATCGTGAGTACTTGTTAAGCTTGAGGTACTGAATGTAAATCTGCTGCTGCTTTTCCCGACAGGAACAATAAATGACTACAGAGGTGAAATAATTATATAATAGAACATTACTCCTTCGGACCCACTGAACGTAATGCTAAAGTTGTGGTTTCCCTTTATTAGTTAATCAACACAATACTTAGATAAAAACTTACTGAACTGCTAGCAAGTTGCTCAATATCTTTCAAGGCGGAATCAGTAAGACGAAAGTGAACTAGTTCCAGATCGTTATATGAAGCATCATCGAACACAAAACTAGAATCCTTCAAACAGCGGAGAGACATATCAGGCGCAGACGCTGCGGATAACGAAGTCAGCTGTAACCCGCACCCGCCTTTAGCTCAAAACTTATAGCCATTGACAGATTCAAACAAAAATGTAACAACTCATTTTTCAGAGTTATTTTGGTGTAACGATGTGAGGTCTAGCATCTGTATATTACTGAAAATAGTCTTACATATCTTTACTACATTCTGTTACAAGCTAGTCAGTTTCTTTGAATTATGTTTTTTGCGAACGGCTTCAGGTCTTCGGCGTCGTCCAGCTTGTTTTGGCAAGCGACTCACTTTCGATAGTCCGAACTACTGTAAAAGTCTTTTGCAATCAGAATGTTTTGAAGCAGATGATTCACCTCACCGAATATTTCATGATTAGAGTGGAGGAACAGGGAGGATTTAAAAAGTAAAATGAATAATAATATAAAAATGTCCAAGATGGCTTGCTAAGACAACTTAAGGGTCAGCATTTCTGACCTTCCTTGACTAACGTGAGTTATGTGAGAGTTTTGTGTGTATTTTTAGCGAACAGTCACCTCTGTTGTTTAGACTATCTATCAAAAAATGTCTAGGCTAAACGTCGCCTGAACGTTAAATGATTCACGGCGGTAGAAAATGTGGGTGTTATCTTTCCGCTAGGTTCATATAAAAAACAACTCGGAGCTTCATTATTTAGTTGAATAGTTACAGTGTGTAATTGTGGTTTACTGTGGTAATAGTCCATTTGTTTTCACCACCGTAGACCTAGTTCCGAAGTGCCAGATTTGTCATTATGTGACTGCCAAATCCATATGATCTTACACAGGAGCCACATCATAGTCTACACTGACTTTTCCTGTCTTGACAATCATCAATCTTATGTTCAGTACTTTTGAAGAACATATTTCGGACAGGGATAAAGTAATATATCGAATGTGAGAAGGTACGAGTTACATAAAAGGACTATGTCTTCAAGGATGAGCCATGACATACCGATTCCTTTTTGCTGCGTTCACCATTGTTGACCTTCTCTTAGTGTTACATGTTGAAGGTAAATCTTTTCAGTAAGTGTATTCTCTGCTTCAAAGGTCGTGTAATTAGGAATCAATCCCACTACAACAGAAATGCACCAATATTCGGCAAAGAAACTGACTGGTGGTTTTTTAGAACAATGACATCAAGTGCTGATTTCGGCCGTAAATTGCTACAAACTTATGATAAAGAAGCCATTAGACGCTTGATGTATAATCCTCTAGGTAACCAATAATGTACAATGAGAATAATTTAAATTCATTTAGTTTGTTTCTTCGTATAATGATTCATCTTCAGCATTTGCTGTCGCCAGTTAGGACAACCAAGGAAGAATGAATAGCGAAATTCATGGAGGAGTATTAGACATTACGGAATTTGTTCCGGCTTTGAGTGATATCTTGAGTTTCCGGTTTTGACTCACAAATGGCTAACTGAAATTATGTGGCTGCCTCAGTTATTAATTCACTCTTGAGAGATATACAGTGACTACCTGGTCTGTCCCAGCACAGAATGATGGGCAGGTCCTTTTGCTTCCGTAATTCATTCTCAGAAGTAATCGAAAAAAATTAAGAGCTGTTTATAGTTGACAGAACAAAAGTGTACACAAACCGCGATGAAGCTGTCTTACATTCTAATATCTGTATCCTAGGTTTTGGTTTTCTGTGAAGTTGAAAGAAACATCATGACCTTTGCTAGGTCGTTGAAGATGAGATCTTGTTAACAATGAGTAAAAAGGTTCAGTCTTAAGTCACCAATATTGCAAACGCATGGACATTCTGTTATGGTATTGGTTCTAATCACTTGATCCTCAAAGTTGAATGTAGGATAACTGAGAAAATTCACATTCAACATTGAATACGGAGTGTAGATCAATAATGGTGAGCTAGGGAACAATCAATCGAAATGGTATGGTATGATAATCAGAAGTATTTAAATTATAGTATAAATTAAGAATCCCAAAAATAACACAATTGGATCATGAAGTACTAGATAAACACAAACGAATGTACCGTATTTCGAATTCGAAATCAAGCATTCAACAATTACAAAAGAATCATTAGTCACTTCAAACCCCACATATGGCTTGGTCATGCAGGCGTGGTCAGTCTATGCAACCTTTCGCTTTTTTATGTCCAACATTTTACTCTCTTCTCAGCCCAAATGTATTCTTCAGAATTTCTAGACGTCACATTCCTGATTGTCACGACAGAAAAAGTCAGTGTAGACCATGGTGTGGCTTCCATGTAATATCATGTAGATTAGGTGATCATATCATGAAAATACTAAAATTTAGTATTAGATCTATTATCATAAAGACAAAGATCAATGCCCTAATATCGTACTAGACCATGATTTCACAATTCCGCCATGATATAATGTCACCCATGGTCAGGAAAGTGACATTCTTCAATTAACTGCAATCTTTAGTATCATATGTGAACGGCGAATAAATGAATGGTAGCTGCCAAAAAATATATATGGACTATTATTATACATATTCTTATGACATTATTATTAAACAAATATATTTGACATATTTATATTCCTTTGATTTCAGTCATTGATTTTCATTATACGTTTTACTTTTCTTAATTTATTCCCAACCCATTATTTACAGTTTATCACTTGACTTGATCTTATATAACTGTTATTTTTTCATTTCATTGTGTTGTAGATCATTACCGTAAATGATCCGGGGCTTACTCGAGTTGGATGGAAATAGTGCAATCAACCAGCTAACGTCGAAAACACAAATCACGGTCAGTACTTGACGTAAATTACTCTTTCGTCGTATCAAAATACTATGGATGTTTTGATGACCGTGTGACAAAAACAACGTTATTAAAGAAACATGTCAGTAAGAGTAGGTAAATGCAACAAAGTGTGACCACTGCTTCATGAGTCAGTTTATGACGTGCATTAACTGTTTTTGACATTGATGAGGATCGGTGAACTGTTTTATATTCAATGATCCGACTGCCCACTGACATTTCACTGGCCCTACAGTGTGATACAGCCTGGTCTGCTTATATATGAACTATATATGTCTGAATTATAATGTACATACAATTGAGGCCGATTATCGTGTTTTGAAATCAGTGGACAGAGAAAGGTGAGAAGCTGTTGTGGTGATTGTTGTTATATCCTCTTATTTGAACCACTGCTATTCTTACGATTGGAAGCAAGGCAATTAAGACTAGTGCAAGTAGAGATTTATTAAACCTGAAACATGATGATCCTAGTTGGAAATATACTCACTTATATTGGTTGTACACCTAGTTTGCTTATTAATTAGAACAAAACCACATATCTGGAAAATATCCTGTATTCTAACAAACCACATAATACATAACAGGCTGAGAATAGTTCACGTTAATCTAAGACAAGAATAACTTAACTTGAACAAACACTCCACTTAAATAAATTAAAGTTGTAACTAACAAACAATACAGAGGAAAACAAATTTTACTCAACACAATCATCACATTAGATTAAAAACGGAAGTGATATTGAACAAAAATCACAATGAATAAAAGAATGTCATTTTGCCTTTTCATCCTATTATATCAGTTGCTTAAAGTTTCGGCATGAATGTAGAAAAGATATTGAATGTAGAATTATATATGTGAAAGTCTCATAATAATTAAGGTCAAAATGATCAATAATATCAATAAATTTGTTCCCAACTATTATCAAACCATGATAATGTGTTGAATTTAGTTGACAATGACATTGTTGGTTAGTTTCTATGACATATGTTTAACTTGTGTTATACACGCATCAAATAATGGTCATATGAATGATGAATTAAACACCGCTATTTTAGATGATCAGAGAATTTTCTAGATGAAATTCAAGTTATCTATATACTAATCTGTTAATTCATTTGTATGAATTCTGTTTCATTATTTTGTGAACATGTCGATGATCTTTTTAATGACCGATTATTCTTATGATCAAACACTTTCGTCTTAGAAAAATTATGATAATGAGCATACATTACTGATGTAATGCAATGTGTACTCTGTATAGAATATGATACATGAAATTGTAATTCGAAAGATAATTAATTATATTTTGATTGTTTAATCAGTAGATTTATGTAATTTTGTAGTTTTAGGTCTTTCTTATAATTCATTGTTATATGTTTTTTTGTTCCAGATTTACCATGAACTAACTATTTCTTCATTACTCCTGGTTTTACTATTTATGACTAAGTTATATAAACATTGTTTTCCCTTAGTTGTGTTGCTGTGTGGTTATTTAAAGTATATTAATGTGTAGGTTTTGAGTTATGATTGAATAAAATACAACAGAGAACTGATCAGTTTACTATCACTGTTTTATGATTGACCAGTGGGTTCAAAGGGCCTTAAAAACCAATAGGCGTTAACGTTTTGAATGTGATGTTTTAGTTGATGTATCAGTTGGTTAATAAAAGATCATTGGTTTCAGTTGGAATACTGACAACTTAAACGATAACCGGACTAGTGAGAGATCATGTAACAGCTTTCTTGCTATTATAGTCTGATTACACGGGACCCAATGCAAACCAAACAATTTTTTTTCGAACATAACAGTTGACTTAACCCAATGTAACTCAATGAATTCTTAAAGATAAGTAGAAGGTTGATAAAGGCAGTTATAATGTATCTTATAACATTTCCAAAGCTACACATCTGTGATAACCAGAATTGTGTGTCCAAAAGAAATCGGTACAAACTCATCTTCTACTATGGTCATAACGTCTCATAATTTTCTTTCTTCGCCATACTTTTCTTCCTTCACATCAATCTACTTTGTTTTATATCTTCTTGTTGTACTTGTATGAACTAATGATTCCTTGGTGCTGGATTACCTACTGATTACGACTTTCAAACATAATACGTTCATTTGTACTTATCTAGTCCCGTTTACTGTAAATTCCACTGTTTCGAAATCTCAGCACGGATTCGAAAAGTTCATTTGGCTTTTGCCAAATTACGTTACCTATGGCGAAGGCAAGATGTCCGTCTATCAATTAAGGGAGGAACATACTGTGCGACAGTTCATTCTG